CGCATCTATGAGTTTGGCAACGCCGGCGGCCTCATCGCCATGGCCCCGCACAAGCTGGAGGGCCCCACCGACGCGCTCTTCCTGTCGCCCGACCAGGGCGGCTGCTGGCACAAGGTGGCGCTTCCAGAGGCGATGAGCGTGGAGAACATCAGGTGCGGCGCGACGGCGGGCACGGTGCGGCCGCGGGGTGCCTCCCCGTCTCCTTTCCCGCCGCAACCCTGCCCTCCCTGCCACCCTGCCACCCTTCACTCCACCCCTCAACCCTACACCCTCTGCTGCCCTGCACCGCCGCAGGGTGGACCCCAAGGGAGGCGGCCACGTGTTCCTGGTGCACGGCCAGGCGTGCATGCGCAGCCAGACGCGCCCGCAGTGCGGGTTCACCGGCGGCGGCACCCCCCCCGCCAAGATGTTCATGATTGACGTCAAAGACCTGCTGCAGGGAGACTGGCGGGTGCGCGGGGCGGCTGCTGCTGTGGGTGCCTGGAGCTGTGGGCGGTTGGGGGCCTGCAGGGCGCGCGGGAGGGCGCCTGGTGCTGTGCGTGCAGCGGGGAGCGGGAGGCGCAGGCGCAGGCTCTGTCGCCATGTGCATGCAATGGGGAGGGTGCATGCGGCAGGGGCAGGCGTGCTGAGGCACGCGGGCCGCGCTGCGCCTGCGCCCGCGCCTGGCCGGCTGCCCGGCGGCCTGGAGGGGGCTGGGGTTTGTGGGCGCGGGGCCCACACCCGCTCCGGCCCCCCTCACCTGCCCTGCGCTGCCCCCCGCGCTCCTCGCCTCCCGCTGCCCCCGCCTGGCAGCCAGCCAGCCAGCCAACCTCCCAGCCCTTGCCGGACCGCAGGACTGCAACGCCGACGCCGGATCTGCCGACTATGAGCAGTGGCTGGTGCCCAAGGCGGATACCTGCCTGCTGGGTGCTCAGTACACCATGTCCCGCCGCCGCCGCGACGCCGCCTGCTTCAACACCCCCTCCTACACCCTCAACATCACGCGCCGCGCGCCGTGCAACTGCACGCTGGCAGACACAGGTGCGGGCTGGGATGCCTGGGCGTCGGCGCAGGGGTTGTGTGGGGTGGCAGGGCCGGTCTGTGGCGGCTGTGTCGGTGGCTGTTGATGTGCGATGCGTGGCTGCCACATGCAGCGCCAGCTGCAGTGGGCTGGAGTGCGGGCCAGGTGCTGGCGCCGCGCCCCGCTGCGCCTCCCCTGCTCCCCTGCATGTGATCCCTGCCTCGTGCACCGCTCCATGTTCCGCTCCTTGTATACCGCTCATTGCACCGCTCCTTGCACCGCTCATGTACCGCTCATATACCGCTCGTGTACCGCAGAGTGCGAGTACGGCTTCCAGCGCAATGGCACCCTCTGCTCCAAGATGCCAGACCTGGGCGAGGGGGCGTGCGTGGTGAGGGCCCCGGCGGGCGGCGGGCATGCCCTGCCCCGCCCAGCGCCTGCCCTGCCCCGCCGCCTTGAGCGCCGCCTGTCGCTCACCCATGCCCCTCTCCTGCACAACCCCCCTGCCTCCCCACCTTCCATGGACGTCCCTCTTCTCATCCCTCAACAAACACACAAACAGAAAGCCACCACCCACCTTCTGGTCCGCGGCAGGATGCCTGTCACTAACCACCACACCCCTCCCCTGCCTCCCTCCCTTCCCCTGCCGCCTCCAGTCCATGCGCAACAGCGGCTACGCCATGTCAGCAACCAACCGCCGCCTGGTGCACGGCGACCAGTGCGGCGAGGTGGCGGCCGTCATCCCTGACACAGACGGCAAGGGACACCCGGTGCACGGCGGCGGCGGAGGCGGCGGCGGCGGCGCCGGCGGGGGCGAGGGCGGCGGCGGCAGCAGCGGCGTCAAGAAGTTCTTCCTGTTTGTGCTGGTGACGGGTGCGTATGGAGGCGGCGGCGGTGGTGGTGGTGATTTGCCTGCCGCCTGCTGCTGCTGCTGCTGCTGCGTGTGTGCGAGGCCGGCACGACGGGCAAGCATCCCTCCATGCATGCCCGCCAGATGCGGCGTGGCTGAGGCCCTCAACACACTCACGCCCTCTCTGTGCCCCCCCTCCCACCCCCCCGGCAGGCATCCTGGTGACGGTGGCGGGCGTGGTGTGGGCGCACTGCCTGCCCGAGGGCCTGCGCGAGAGCCTGGGCGACCGGCTGGCGCCGGTGCTGGGCGCGGTCGCCGTCGTGCTGGAGCTGCTGCTGGATAAGGTCATCGCCGCCTGGGACTGGGCCCGCGCCCGCTTCTCGGGCGCCTCCCAGCGCAGCGCCGCAGAGGCCGCTTACTTTGAGCCGCTGGCAGAGGTGGACCCGGAAGACCACCGCAGCCCGCCGCTCTTCCCGGGACGATGAGGCGGGGCGCGGCGAGGCCGCAGCCGCGGCGGGCGCGCTCGGCGTCCTCGGCGCCCTCGGCACAGCTCCGCCGCAGCAAGCCTCGGCGCCTGCTAGGGCTTGGCGCCAGGCGGGCCCGGCGAGCTCGGGTGCATGGCGTGGCCTGCTCCCCTGCGGGCCCTCTCCCGCCCCCTGTACCCTCTGTGTATCAGTTTCCGCGACATCTGTTTCTTGCATGTATGTACTCAGCTGAACTCTGGTGTGTTGCTCCGCTGCGTGTGCAACAGAGAGGAACCCTTCTGAATGAAAGGGCGGGCGTGGGGTGGGATGGCAGGTAGGCCTCCCGGTAAGGATGTGCCCCATGATGGGCATGATGGCCCCCCACCTGGAGGGTCATTGGGGACATCATCCTCAATCATGCATCATTCTCCCTCCCGTTTGTTCTGTTGGCATCCCAGCAACCGTAATATGCTTTCTAGGACATGAGCCACCACTTTAGGGTGAAGGTGGTTAGCAAGACCACGGCCCCCAGGCCTCTAGACGGGCCACAGCCAAAAAGATCCCGTGCAAGTAGACCAGGACAACAAGCTCCCTTCAATGTGCCAGGGCAGGCCAGGCGGCGGGGTGAGAGGGATGACAACGAGGATGAGCGAGCACCCAGCGGCTTCTTAGGCTGGGGCGACCGGCAAGGACGCAAACGTGATCACTGGGAGGCTCGGCTCGGAGCGGACGTGGATGCCTTCTTGGCCTCTCTGCCGGGCCGGGCGGCGCAGCAGCGGCAGGAGCGCCAGCAGCAGCTCCAGCAGCGGCAAGCCCAGCTGGCCAGCATGGAGCCGCTTCCTTGCCACTTAGCAGCAGAAAATGGCAGCTGCTGTGAGTTGCACAAGACGGGCAGCCAGGCAGCTGTGTTTTATGGGCCGCTCGGCGTGGTGGGCAGGCTCACGT